TACTTTGTATATTATTTTCGTTTTTCAAAAAATTTTTGTCTAAGTGCTACTGATGAACAGTTTTTAATGTGTGTAGACCACAGCTATATGCAAAAAAGAAAAGTTCAGAATAATTAAATAACTTACACATAGATACAGAGTTTATCAGTTGGCAGGACCAGAATTGAATCACATTTTTTAAGTGTTACTAACTTTGCCATAAAACTGAAAAGGCTAAGGAAGAATTGAGGGAGGGGCGAGGAGGTATCAGCTGTAACAAAAATGAAGCATTCTGTGTGACAGTACTAATCAGTGTAAATTAAAACAAATGACTTTGCTGTTTAGAAACTAAATTCTTAAAGTCTTGACCAGAAACTTTTCAAGTGCTTATATTTTCTTTCCCGTGCACTCATACACCATAATCCTTCCTCAACTGTGGCCTGAGTTTTCCTCCCAACCATTGCTAGCCACTCCTCCATTTAACTTAAGTATTTGTCGTTTTTTTTCCCTATCCAGCCCTATGAGCTCAAGATTTCAAGGAAATTTGGTTGATTTCTCATCAAAAAATCATATTTAGGGGTAGTACATTAGATCCTTTGGAGTAAACAGTGAGAGTAGAGTTTATCTGCATGATTGAGTGATTCAAACATGTCTTACCTGACAAAGTGATGTAAGATCTCAATTACTTTAACTGAAGAGCAGCACATTGGTTTGTAGGACATGGTTCAGTAATTCTCAAATTTGGTGGTTCATCAGAATCACTTGTAGGGCTTGTTAAAGTAGATTGCTGCTCCTGACCCTATAGTGTCTGATTCATTGGTCTGGATGGAGACCCAAACTTAGCCTTTCTAGCATGTTGTCAGGTACTGCTGATGCTGCTAGTTTGAGGACTGCTAATTATTATAGCTCATAGTCTCTTTTTCATGTAGAATAAATGTACTTTTTTTAAAAAATGTTGCTTTGCTTTACTGTGAACATGTTCTCTTCCCCTTGATTGTGGCATTTTTTTATCTTCATGTCCCATAAAAACATTAAGAGATACTCCTTAAAGAAAATTCCCGAAGTAATCTTTCACAATAAGAGAACCTTCTAATCCTTTAATTATATCAATTCTACATAGTTGACATAAGGTAGGCCTTGGTTTTGCACAGTTCTGAGATACACCAATTTCAGTTACTACAGTCTATTAACTATAACAAATTTCATAAAGTACAGACTTCACTGCTGACTTTTCAGTCTACATGTCACTACAAAAATAACAGATGCACATCATGACCAGTGACCAGTCATGTCACATTTTCCAAACTCTGTCATTAGTCACTGTGCACCTCTTACTGAGTTCATACACACAAAACAGTCTGTGTATTTGTGTTCCCTCCTTATGCCCCAGTGATAGACTCATGTAATTTTATAAAAGTGGATAATCAAAGAATTAGCCAACAATAATTAAAGCACAGCAAGGAAAAAATGATACTACTGGAAGCAAAATTCAAATTGAATATAAATGGAGTTAGGAAACAGCTGACAGTGGGAATGTTGACACCACTGATCTTCAAGAGACTCTAGATATGCCACCACAGGAATTTAGTGAAGGCAAACTTATGGACATAAATGAGGAAAGTGGTTGTGACATTAAGAGTGATGACAGCATAAGATTTTACATGAAAGGAACTCTGGGAGATATTTCTTGACATGTGAAGCACAAGGATACAATGTTGGCATCTGATCCTAACTCAGAAAGGAGTATGACTATCCACGGCATAGGAAAGATTTTTTGCTTCCTATCATAAGTTGTTCCAGAAGAAGTGACAAGCAGTGTTCAAACTGCTCTTGAGTTTTTTATAAATAATTTTCAGTGTTTTTAATGTATTAAATTACAGTGTACTAAATAAATATTAGTTTTGCTTTTTTTATTTCCCTATACCTTTATAATTGATCAGGAATTCATATTTGGATCATGAATCTAAAATTTTTTTTAAGATTGATTTATTTATTTTAGAATAAGGGGAGGAGCAGCAGAGGAGAGAAAGTGTTAAGCAGACTCCACCCTGAGTGCAGAGCCCAATAGAGGGCTCCATCTTACAACCCTGAGATCAGGACCTGAGCCGAAACCAAGTGCCCCAACAACAAAAAAAAAGTTTTTAAAGATTTATTTATGTGAGAGAGAAGGAGAGAGTGTGCATGCACCTGCATAAGTAGGGGAAGGGGCAGAAGGAGAGGGAGGAAGAAGCAGACTCTCCACTGAATATAGAGCGTGATGAGGGCTTGATCTCATGACCATGATGAGATCATGACCTGAGCTGAAATCAAGAATCAGATGCTTAACTAAGCCACTCAGGCACCCTTTGACAAATTTTTTTAAGTTTTGGAACAATTGTAACTTTTCCCATTGATCATTAAAATTGCCTGCATGGTTTCAGCTTGTATGATTATTTTTAGCATCCCATACTACATACAAAGCAAGGACTATATGTATATGTATGTGTATGTATGTATGTATAAATGTATGATTGGATGCATATATATATAGTCTTTAATTGTATTATATAAAGGTTTTATTTGTACTCTGTAAAGAGTGTTTCCCAACCTTGATACACACACAAAAAAATACTTGGATAGCTCTCTGTGATACACAAAAGAGCTCCTGGCTGAAGGGCAGTGGCCAGGAAACTTTCCATCCCAAGCCTTGCTTAGCTGCCCCAAGGGCCAGGGAGATAAATATTTCAACCACATGTATGTGTCATTTAAGGCCCACAGGTGAAAATACTCCAATATTGAGAGAATTGTTAACTCCTTGAGGAAGTAGGCATCATAGCACTTAGTATGGTGTTCTCTTTTTGGTTTTTTTGGCTGACCATGTTTGACATACTATAATACATATTTTTTAATTGAAATTTCTTTAAAAAGCTAAGACTTGTTAATCTGCTCAAGGGCATATTTAGTAAATGTCTAAATATGTTTTATTGTATTTAATATTCTCTTTCTACAGTTATTAAAGCATTAAAATGTGTCTTACTAGAAATGTCACTGTATAGTGAGTATTAGAAATGCTGAGGTAAAACTGAAACTTGGCATAGGAAATAACAAGTAGGCATTGCAAAAATAGATTCATTGTTTTAAGGAAAAACATCTGGTGAAAATGTTTCCAATTCTTTCTATGAATACAAAGTAATCAAAAGGAGGCTTTATATGAAAATGAGATATGTGCTTTTTTTTTGGTCCCAGTGATTAACATTAGCTTTCCCAGTAATGTGTTTTGATAACTAAATATTACAAGTTCAAAATAAAACAAAAAATGCTATTTTCAGCATGAGTTTTAAATTCTTTTCATACTAATTGATGTTTTTAACTCTAGTACAATAGCATGATTTTTGTATTGACTTGATTATGTAACATTTAACTCAGTGCTTTCATATCATTCTTCCTTGATACATTTCAAGGCCTAAGTGTACTATCTTAACTTATTTTGCTGTAGAACATACACATTACTTTTTAAAATTGAAGTGTCCTCTTTTGCTACTTTGTTTCTTGAATTCTAGAATTATGTTATGTTTGTAAGAAAGTAGACTTTAAGCAGACTTCTTTTTGTAACCATGTAGAATCTTATGGTGTGCTGTAATTAAAAGCCAGATTTGTTTTTGAGCTTTATTGTGGTATAATTGACAAATTAAATTGTAAAATATTTAAAGTCTACATCATGATGATTTGCTATATATACACATTGTGAAGTGATTCCTCTCATCCAGTTAATTAATACCTCTATCCCCACATATTTATAGTTTTGATTTTTCTTTTTTGAGAACATTTAAATTCTCTTTTAGCAAATTTCAATTGTGCAATATAGTGTTATCATCTATAGTCACCATATTATACTTTTTAGATTCTCAGACTCTATGTGGCTGAAAGTTTGTACCCTTTTACCACCTCTCCCTATTCCTTCCTCCCTCAGCCTCTGGGAACCACTTTTCTCCTCTGTTTCTGTGAGTTTAACTTTTATTTTTAGAGTCCATATATAATTGATATCATGTGGTATTTTCTTTCTCTGTCTTATTTCACTTAGCATAATGCCCTTAAGTCTATCTTTGTTGTTATTAATAGCATAATTTCCTTCTTTCTCTTGATTGAATAATATTTTAGCGTGTGTGTGTGTTTCTCACATCTTCTTTATCCATTCATCCGTTGATGGACACTTAAGTTGTTGCCTTGTCTTGGCTATTGTAAATAATTAAACTGGATTTTTATAATCTAATCTTTATCTTAAGAACAAAGTGTGTTGGGGATTCCTGGGTGGCTCAGCGGTTTAGCACCTGTCTTTGGCCCAGGGCGCGATCCTGGAGTCCTGGGATCGAGTCCCGCGTTGGGCGCCCGGCATGGAGCCTACTTCTCCCTCTGCCTGTGTCTCTGCCTCTCTCTCTCTCTCTCTCTATGTCTGTCATGAATAAATAAATAAAATCTTTAAAAAAAAAAAAAAAACCAAGTGTGGAGTCTCCTGGGTGGCTCAGTTGGTTAAGTGGCTGACTCATGATTTCATCCCCACATCAGGCTCTGCTCAGCACAGAGTCTGCTTGAAATTCTCTCCCCCTCTCCCTCTGCCCCTTCCCTCATTCTCTCTCTCTCTCAAATAAAATCTTTTAGAAAAATAAACACTTTACTTAATAAACTTAATAAAATGTATAATTCTCCTCTTTTTAGAAGGTAAAGTTCCTTTACAGTTACAATTTTGTAAAAACTTCTCTAAGGACCCTGGATAACTTTTGCTTTTTAAATACTGCAACTGGGCATCCCTGGGTGGCGCAGCGGTTTGGCGCCTGCCTTTGACCCAGGGCACGATCCTGGAGACCCGGGATCGAATCCCACATCGGGCTCCCGGTGCATGGAGCCTGCTTATGTCTCTGCCTCTCTCTCTCTCTCTCTCTCTCTCTCTCTCTCTCTCTCTCTCTCTCTGACTATCATAAATAAATAAAAATTAAAAAAATTAAATACTGCAACTGTTCTTTTTGAAGTTTGATATTTTATTTTAGGGCACATCGATGCATTTACTTCAAAACTTTTTCTGTTAGAAGAAATTACCTCAGAAGAATTAAAAGAAAAACTTTCAGCACTCAAGTAAGACAGTTTACTTTGTGGTGGGATTTTTAAAACTTATTAATATAATGACTAATTTTTGTTTATTTCTAAATATTGGGTAAGTTTAAATCATTTATTTTCAAGACTTTTAATCTTTTTCTGCATTTAGGCTTCCCCTGGCCCAGTTTGTTATCCATCTATATTAATCATATCCCTTTTCAATTTAAATCAAATGCCAGTGGCACCAGCCTTTCTACTTCAGACAAAGAAGGCTAGAAAAAGAGTAATAGCCCACCATCTGAGAGGTGCATGGGAGCACCACTTTCAGAGATGGGAAAGAACAGAAGAGTCATAGACTCTTAGCTCTAAAAGATATATACATTTATTTAGACATCCTAACTTCTTAAAGTTTCCCCTGTGCCACATATTACTGTACATCATATAAATGAGTTTATTGTGCTCAGGACTCCAAATACGTAAATGCAAAGGAAAATAACTTAGGAACATAATCTAATTTATATCTCACAGCTTTCTAGGAAGGACTGGTGGTAGTATTAGCCCCATTTTGTGTGTGGGGAAACTGGAACTTAGAGTGACTTACTCCAGAGCACACAGGTGAACTGGAGTGACAACCTTGGAAGTTAATGTTTGCCCATTAGGATGGGAAATTGTCCTGACTTAGACTGGTCACAGAGTTTCTGCTTTGGAGCTTGACAGTTTTTTTTGAAGGGTCTCAGATTCAATCTTGAATTCTCTGCTTATTCTTAAAAATGTCCACTTCTATTATAAGGACTGCCTCCTTTGAGGAATAACTTTTTCTTTACACGAATAAGAAGGCTTTTCCATACATTACTCACTGCCCGCCCCACCATTCCAATGAAACCCATTTTTAAATAAATACTAGGGGAAATAAATTTAAGTCTAGAATAGATACTAAAGAAATAACTACCCTGCTGCCACTCGGTGGCTTCTCTGGCATCACACATTTAAAAGACTTCTCAGTTTCTTTGAAAGCTAATTCACCACCATCTCTAAAAGGCAAACTCTTTTGCAGATTAGTTCTGAATATAAAATAGTGAGCTCTTCGCAACTGCTCTGATTCACACAGGCCAACTACTTTATGATTTTGAAGAGAAATCAGAAAATGACAAAAAGATTATAATTTAATCAAATAATGTTATTCTGTGTTTTCTATTTTTTTCTTTGTTAGTGAAGGTATTTCTCTTTCTGAGGAGCTATAATTGTTAAGAATACTTTTAATTTTACATTAATTTCTTCTGTTTAATAGGATTTCAAGTTTATTTAACATCCTCCAACACATTCTAAAGAAATTGAGTAGGTAAGTTGTTTTTGGACATTTTGCATTGATATGTGTGATTTTCTTGGGTGAAAATTCAGAGAAAGTTTGAATATATGCTATTAGGGATCATAGAATGTAACCCAGAAATGCAAAATTTATTCTATTTTGTCAAGGTTGCAATTGTGAAAATAAAAATAAAAAATAGAATATGATAGTATCTGACTTGCTTGCAGTTAAACATTTCTCTATAAGACTCTGTTGTATTGGTTCCCATATGCCACTGTAACACATTACCACAAATTTACTGGCTTAAAACAGCACAAACTTATTTTATAGTTTTGGAGGTCAGAAACACAAAATCACTTTTGCTGGACTAAATTTGTAGCAGCAGGGCTGATTCTTTTTGGAGGCTCTAAGGGAGCAATCATTTCCTTGTCTTGATTTTCACCTTTTTTTTTTTTTTAATTTTTTTAAATTTTATTTATTTATGATAGTCACAGAGAGAGAGAGAGAGGCAGAGACACAGGCAGAGGGAGAAGCAGGCTCCATGCACCAGGAGCCCGACATGGGACTCGATCCCAGGTCTCCAGGATCACGCCCTGGGCCAAAGGCAGACGCTAAACCGCTGCGCCACCCAGGGATCCCGATTTTCACCTTTTAGTGGCTGCCTGTATTCCTTGACTGTGGCCTCCTTCTCCATCTTCCAAACACGTCACTTAAATTTCCGCTTCCTTTGTCTCATTGCACCTTAATCACATTTGGGAAGCCATTAAAGGTAATATACAAAAGTTCTGGAGCTTAGGATATGGATATTTTGGAGCCTACATAGCTATGTTGTTTACATTTTCAGGATAAGGAAGCAACATAGAGCTAGTGTTCAAAAAATCATCAAGTCTGTGAGAAATCTCAGAATATGAATTTTCCACCTGGTTATTTATCAGACTGTTTTATTATATGAACTTTTGTTCTCCTTCTGTTATGCCCTTACCAAAAGATAAACTGGAAAACAATTCAAGAATCTGAAATAAAAGTGAAAAATCTCAAAGTTCTCAATCTCTACTTATTATGCCTATTAGTTTCCTGATTTATAAAATGATGAGTTCAGTGATGTCCTAGATATTTTTCAGTTCTGTGGCAGAAATTTTGTCTATTGTGTTCTTCATATGAAGCACAATACTTATACATGAAATTTGTCAAATGCTCTTTGAGATCTTATCAATATCTTAGTTTGTATATTTGTTTTCTACTGTAACTAAGGCAGATTACCACAAAATTGGTGTTTTAAAACAACACAAATTTATTATCTTTCAATTCTGTAAGTGTACCAGGTCTTCTGGGTCGAAATCCATGTGTCAGCAGGACTGAATTTTTCTGTAGGCTCTGGGTGATCGTCTCTTTCCTTTACTTTTGTGAATTCTAGAGGCCATCTGCATTCCTTGGTTTGTGGCCCTTTTCCTTTTTCAGAGTTTCAAAGGCAGGTTGAGTCCTCACATCACATTATTCTGACTCCTTTCATGGTTGTAATCTCCCCTCTGAGTCCCTCCTGCTTCGCTAGTCTACATTGAAGGACTCTTGATTACAGTGGACCCACTAAGATAATCCAGGAAAATCTTAAGCATTTTAAAATCAACAGGTTAGGAATTCCAATTCTATCTTATTCCCTCTTTGCCGTGTAATTTAACATATTTATAGCTTCTAGGGTTTAAGATGTAGGCATCTTTGGAAGGTCATCATTCTGCCTACCGTAATCAGTATCCATCCATGTACATTACACCGTGTAGCATTTCTAAAATACTCTTCCCTGAAGTTTCTCATTCTCCATGAATTCTCTGTAAACCAAAACTTTCTTCACTTTTAGTGAAGGTAGTTAAGATATATGGTTTTGATCAATAAAACCTCAATCTTTGAAATGTTATTTATTCCTACTACCAAATCAGTTATTATTCATTGCCTTATATAAAAATAAGAAAGTGATTGTTTCTGAAGAAAAATTCTCCGGGGGGTAAGAATACTTCTGAACCTCCTTTTTAAGCAGAAAAGCCATTACTTTTCTGCTTAAAAGAATTAATGGAAACATAACTTATCAGGTTTGTAGGCAGATGCATATAACTAAAGTATGATTAATTCTTATTTTAAATGATATGGGAAAGAACTGATGTTCTCTTTAGCACCTTTGAGCTATGTAAAATAGGAATGTAAAATCCTAAGAAAGCTCTTTATGTTGATACACTGAATTCCTTAAGCTTTCTAAGGAGAAAAGGAAAATGTAGATTTGGTATTTGACAGGAGTGATTATTTTAACAGTAGAGGATCATGATTAAGGGTATGGCCTATGGATTGAACTACTTGGGTTTATATCTCCCTGCAATCAGAATTTGGGCAGATTGCTTAGTATTTTTAATATCTATTTTTCTGTGATATGGAGTGAATTACTAATATTCTGCCTTGAAGATTTGTTGTGGAGGATTTAATAATAAAATGGATATAAGCAGTATAACAGTAGTTATTTAGCTCATGATAAACATTCAGAAAAAAAAAACATTCAGTACCTATCAGCTGCTATGGTTGCTATTCTCAGCACCTCATATTGTATTATGATTATTCCTTTTTTACTTCCACTTTATTTTTTTTAAAGATTTATTTATTTACTTATGATAGACACACACAGAGAGAGAGAGAGAGAGAGGCAGAGACACAGGCAGATGGAGAAGCAGGCTCCATGCCAGGAGCCTCATGTGGGACTCGATCCCGGGACTCCAGGATCGCGCCCTGGGCCAAAGGCAGGCGCCAAACCGCTGAGCCACCCAGGGATCCCCTACTTCCACTTTATTTTTAAACTAAGTTCCTTTTTTACTTCTACTTTATTTTTATATCTCTTAAGCTTTGTGTTACTGGGTACAAAGCAAGAGCTGTGTTTGTTGAATGAATTAAAATGGTCTCTGTAGGGACACCTGGGTGCTCAGCGGTTAAACACCTGCCTCAGCCCACAGGGCGTGATCCTGGAGTCCCAGGATCGAGTTCCACATCAGGCTCCCTGCATGGAGCCTGCTTCTCTCTGCCTGTGTCTCTACCTCTCTCTCTCTCAGTCTCTCATGAATAAATAAATAAAATATTTTTAAGTGGTCTCTGTATAGGAATATTGTGTATGTACACTCATGAAATACTCTTCAGTATATGTTGTGCGTGGATTAGAGAATTAGACTGTTTCACATTAAATTATTGAATATTTTGAAAAAAGAAACTATGTATCCTGAACTTTGGAGTAACAATTAAAATTAGTTTCCTAAAAATCATGAAAATATTACTAAAAATAAGATTTCTTAAATCTTACTTGGTCATAAAATATTTTTAGAGGCAGTATTCCATTCCCATAATTGTTGTCAATTCTTAAACCACGATTAAGAATATGCTGTTGAAATTGACACCATTTGAACCAGTGAACCAGTGAACCATTGAACCAGTGAGTTGAATTTCCTTGTATGATTTAGCTTGCAGGAGGGTTCCTACTTGTTGTCTCATGCAGCAGAAGATTCTTCTCTCCTGATCTACAAGACCTCTGATGGAAAAGTTACTAGGACAGCGTACAATTTGCACAAAACACATTGCGGCCTTCCCGGTGTGCCTTCCAGTCTGTCAGTTCCCTGGGTTCCTTTAGATCCCAGTCTGTTATTACCGTATCATATCCATCACGGAAGAATACCTTGTACTTTTCCACCTAAATCACTAGGTCCCACACCACAGCAAAAGGTATGATTTTTTTTTTTTTGCAGTTAAATGTTCCATGAGGTTATTTATTCATGTATTTCATTGACGATACAATATTTCAACTTCATGTCCACATTAATCACAAGATCATCTTGAAATTGTATCCATAAGAAGGGTAGATAAAGTATGCTTTACTGAATCCAGTCATTGTCAGTGGAAGTTTCTGTTTCTGTAATGTTTGTAAGTCAACTAAAGAAAATTCTATGGCTTGCCCAGTGGGAATAAGCTAACTCCCTGTGTTCTTGTGAAAAACATAGTTATATTTTTTTTGTGATTCTTATTTATATATGCTGATTCATTTTATTAAATATTTGAGGCAATTTGCAGAGGAATACTTACAATAAAATTATGATGATACAATTAAAAATTGATAAGTAGGATATAGAAAAATTAAAAAGTGTTAGTAATTAGTGAATGCAATATCTTATTAAATGTACAATAAACTGTTAAGGACTAAATTATTTGCTAAGTATTGTGTAACTCAGTATTTATTGAGTTATAATTAACTTTACTCTGTTTATAGAATCCTTCCCAGAAATACCAGTTGAATGATTTTTCTGACTGGGACTTTTATAAAGCCATGGCTAGAGATACTCTTCACCATGTCACTCATTCTTTATATCATGTAATATATTCCAATCTGGGTTTAGCTGTAGGAAAAGTTTTGTTCTATACAAATGAATCTGTTGTTCAGGAAATAAAAACCAAGTGTATTTTCCTTCCATGCTGCCAAAAACCTTGGAGTCAAAATTATTATTTGACTTCTGTAATTTTCTCAATATGTGTTCTCAGAACATCTATCAATTGTGTATCCTGTGGATATCTTCTGTTCTCTTTTGTTTCTATGTTATATTAATCTGTAAATGTTTTCAAGGCCTTTTAGAAATAGCTAGAATGCAAAAACTGAGGACCTTTAAATAATTTACAGTGAATGAGGTTTATGTTTTTCAGTGTTTTACCCTAATATTACTGTTTGGGAGGATCTTTTTAGGAAGGAAAACTCCTTGTACATTCTTAGCTAACTTCGGCCATGGATATGTATAAATATGGTTAATTAGTTGCGACAAATGAAAGAATGGATGAAGTTGTTGATATTTTAAACCATCTTATCTACAGTTCTGGTTGGTTATTTCCAGTTTAAATTTAATTTGAGTAATGATTTTTATAGCTTATTACAGTAAAATTTTCTTCGCTAACTTAAATATAATAATTGAAAACTTTTCTTGAAACATTTATATATTTTCAAGTATAATGGTCTCCTTTTAACTTAGAAATTGTGATTATAGTCTATCACCTGTGACATATAATTATATACGGGGATGAGTTACTCCTTTTTGGCGTAATACTCTGATACAATACCATATGTTCAAGATTTGGGCACATCAATCCAAAATTAAACAATTCATTTATATGTATACCACTGAGCAGTTGCTGATTTATATTTTTTAAGGTACTTCATGTATTCAGTGCCAGGGACAAATCCTTAGTGAAATGATCTAAGACCCAGCTGTTAGGTACAATAGATAGGTAGATAATTAATGCTTGGTTTGGTATGTTTTCAATCCCTTGAAAATTTTTGGTGATTTCCTACACATCTCCCTACAGTCTAGCCCTATGTTTGTTGAGCATTATTCAGCCTTCCTCCCTTACTTTCTCCTAGCGAGGCCATGGGAATGGGACTTTCTAAACCAGTCAAGGTAAGTGCAGTTAGGGTTTCTGGCTTTAGCAGCAATGGGAAAAGACTAAAGCTTCAGGAAACCTGAGGAAGTAAGACCCTATATGAAAAAAAAATCATGCACACATTTCATGGTGTAAAAACTTACATAACAAATTTTTTTTTTAAGATTTTATTTATTTGAGAGGGTGAACGAGAGAGGGCATGAGTGGGGCACATGGGAAGCAGAGGGAGAGAGAGAAGCAGACTCTCAACTGAGTAGGGAGCCCAACACAGGCTCCATCCTGGGACTCCAGGATCATGGCCTGAGCCGAAGGCAAATGCTTGACCTACTGAGCCACCCAGGCTCCCAGATACCAAATATTTCTGTCTTTGATATAGTCCTTTAGTTCCTGTCCACTTGAACTCACTTCTCATATTTGTGTAGTGCCTTAGGTACTAACCCTGAGAGATACCCCCCAGTAGAGTTTATGTCTGCCTCCTACTTCATGGAGAAGAGATTAATAGGAGAATCCCATTTGCTTCCTATGCTACTCCTGACGACTTCTACTTCCAGTCCTTTTGCAAAGGCTCTGTGACCATCCCTTTTCTCCTTCTACAACTTCTATAATAAACAGTCATTTTATACACACACACACACACACAACACACACACACACAATCTTACAATAGAAGTTTCAAAATACTTTCCTCCACAATGTAGTAGATGCAGTCAGAGTGGTCAGTATAGTCTTACAGTAAATACTAGCTGAGTGGGCAGTAGTGTAGATAATCTAAAAATCAGAGCTCTGTTCTAATCAGTGTGTTAGAAAAGTTCATAGGATTCAGACAAATACACTAGCAGACTCCAATCCCAAATGGAGCTTTTCCTTTCTGGTTATCTGACAGTAAACCAAAAAATGCCTATGAAGAGATAACATATTAGGGAAGCTGGAGTCTGATTCATTCTTTAGTGAGCCAGTAACCCCTTGGAGTAATGCTAATATATCAGATATATTAGGAATATGACTGTGCTGCAGCAACCATCTCACCCATCACCATCAGATCTGTAATTCACTGAATAAGATGTGAAGAAACAAAGGGTGCAAGATGGCCAGGGAAAATAGAGGCAGAAATGGACAGGCTCTGGGCAAATGATTTTAGGTTTCCAGCTTTGGCCCTTTTCTCCAAGGGCTGACTTTCTCCATCGCCCCTTTTAAAAACTGTGCTGTCTCAGTGGCCACGTAGATGACAGGATTTCCAGATCTCACCTTCAGCAGGACTACAGTTAGCAAAGGATTGTGTCCTAAGAATACGCCTTCTCATATCTGTAGTCTGTGTGGTGGGCTAGAAGGTGAGAATGGGCAGCTCCTTGTGTGCTGAGGAGGAGTCGATATTAAGGTAGAACCAGCAGCACCCCAACAAACTATTCCTCCCATTCTCTTTCTTCCTTTTTTTTTTTTTCCTCTGGAGTCTCCTCCCAGGTGTTTCTTCCCACTTCTTTTTCTTTCTTGCAGGAATCTTCTCTTTTAGTCCCTCATCTTTTCCTTTTTACTGTGGTTCTTTTCTCTTTTGCCTCCCTGTTTTTCACATTTATTTTTCCCCCTTTTTCTATATAGACTACTGTTTTTCTTACTCATTGTCCCTTTCTCCATTTTGTAATTTTTTTCTCCCTCTTTACCACCTCAGACCTTTTTCTTGTATTTTCTTCCTCTCCCTTTGTATTTTTCATTCCTTCCTTTTTCCTGACCTATGTCATTATTGCAAACACATCGCTCAGAAAAGTCCTGTTGTTCCACCATTTTCTAATTTAACATTTCAGCCTCTTCCAGATTTAACACAGAGAATGGTTTTCCCCTTCACTTCTCTCCATTCTCCTCTAACCTATTCCTTCTCTGATTGCTATTTGAAAGTTTCGCTTCTTAAACTGTGTCAGATTAAAGCTTGTTTAGAAGCATCCAGGGGGCTGGAGATTAAAAACGTATAAAGGACCATTTGCAAAGTAATTAGTACATGTATAAATAATACAGAGTTGACTGTATATAAATACTTTGTAAACATGTTAAAACTATTCGTTACTTCATCTCTTAGGTTGGTGGAACAAGAATGCCTACACGCAGCCGCAGGAATCCAGTTTCTATGGAAACCAACAGTCTGCCTCCTCAGCAAGTTGAAAATGAAGGAGAAGCTCCAAATAAAAGAAAAATAACTTAAGGACTCTATCATGGAAAATGAAGAAAAACTAGTTGTAACAACGTTCAATTTAGAAAAGTTTGAGGGGGAAATATGCCTAGAAGATCAGTGGATAAGATGAACATTTTTCTTTTAGTGTCCTTGAGAGTTCTTGGAGTGCCTTGAAAAAAATATATTGGCTACGTGAAGGAGTGTTTCAGTAAAATGGAATGTTACACCCTTAACACTTGATGTTTGAGGAGAATCTAGATATGTTTTAACATTATCATGGCAGGGAAACAGAGAAGAGAAGTATTTTTATAGTAGACCTTTTCCAAAAACTGTAAATAGGAAAATAATCTACTTTTTTCAAGAGCAATATTTATCATTGTGTGTTATGTTAATAATATGAATTATCACATTGACTCAGAAAGTTGAATCTTGCCACTGTCAGAATTCTGAGCCAATATAAACCTTGCTTCTGACCCATTGTGACAGTTTTTATATACTACTTCAAAATGATGATTGTTGCAAGTTAATAAAGTTAACATCTTTAAATACTTGATGAAATTCCGTTGCACAAGCCAAATATCAAAATTAAAAATAAACAAGTCCATGTCTCTGAAAAGTCACAAGTTAATGATTTCTTGTTGGTCAATCATCAGTTGAGAAAAAAACAGCCTTCCATGTGTGTTATAGGTTTGGCGATGGATCCCTCTCTCTTGGCACAAGTTTCAGCCTAGTGTTGAAATATGCTGCTGAAAGCAGAGATGATTGTGTTTCCCAAAAAAATTTCATTATTTCAACTGACAAGGTTAATGTATGGTAAAATGTAAGCTATTTTTCCTCATCTATACTGATTAAATGTCCTAGGACCACAAAGATGAATTTGGCAAAGCTCGTGAGCACCTGGTGTTACTATAGCCAGTTTGGACTTAAGAACGAATGGACTTATTCAATTTTTGTATCTTTGTCCATTAATGAGCATTAAAGTTTCAGAAATATGTGCATCATTTGTAAAATACAAGTTTTGTAATCCAAAGTAATATATCTACTTTGTTTTTGGAATTTTTTAATGTGTTTTATATTAATATAAGAAACTGGTCTGAGAAATCTTCTCAACTATTATTATAAGTAATAGTTTTTATCTTCAACTACCAAGTTTTATTTTTGATTTTTATAGTCTGTTATAAAATATTTTTAAATTAATTAGTAAATATTAAGATTTTTTTATATATTTTAACATATAATTTCCTCCTGCCACTCCCTTTTTAAAACCATGAGTTTTTTTTTAAATGGACACGATTTTTTTTTTTGAACTTTGTCCCATATTCCCATATCCCAGAAATATTTTAGTTGTGACTCATTTGGCAGTGAACCAAGGGAGAGGCAGGGAATCCCCTTGGAATTTGCTCTTTTAAAAAAGCTACACAGTGATTTCTTCAGACTCCTGAATACCAGAAAGATCTGACTTTTTACTTTTAACATTACTTTTTACTTAATAAAATGTGTGGCCTTGCAAGTAACTATTTTGAAATTATCTTAGCCATACATTTGAATAACCCTGATAATATATATAAATCTAGTCTTAGTTTTTCACTTGTACTTAACCACGCCTCTTTTATAACATGTAGTTGATTATGTTTGTGTTTTTTTCCTTAATTTTAGTACAGTCATACCTCATTCTGCACTTTGTTGCACTTTGCACATACTACAGTTTTTACTAATTGAAGATTTGTGGCAACAAAGCGAGTCAGTGTTGGCAAGGATGTGATGAACCTGGTCCACTTATACCTATGGTGACGATGCAATTTATACATACCCCTTGGGAAAAATTAGTCCAGTAAATGTTTGCTTTGGATGCCACTCAATCTAAAGTAGGTCCCGGTTGTTACTCTCATAATATTCTTTTTTGCCTATATTGCAGTAGTTTATCTGACTTACTATCTTTCTTCTTGAATAGACTAAAAACTATGCAAGGTCAGGAACATATTTGTTTTGTTCACAATTATGTAACAAACACCTAACTTGGTAATGCTGTCTTGTAGTTGCTTAGTAAATATAAGTTGGATGTATGAATAAATGAATATCTGGTTATCAAGGATAGATTTTATTTTTTCCAGGAGCTTACATTCTAGTGGAGGACACGATACTAATCTATGGGTAAGTGCTCTGGCAAAGTAATATAAGAAAGTCATATAACCTGAACCTGATAATTAAGGAAAGTTGTCCGAGATGAAGCTTGTAGGCTCTGAACTTGGGATTTGAGAGAAAAAGTGATAGGACAGGGACAGACATGCCATACTATTACATTTAAATGTTGTCCTGTGCAATGTGGGAACCAGTAGTGACTTTAAATTAAAAAACAAACAAACATGATGACATAGGTTTTTTAAAAAGCTCTTGTTAGCGTTAATCTAGAGAATGAAATAGAGCTGGGAAAGACTGTAGGGAAGGAGAAAAGTTGGAAACCTGGGTTACAATAAAATAAATGGTGAAGGCCCAGAATTGAAGCAATAAGAGGGATGGGCTCAAGGGACAGGAGAAAAAAAATAACTTAGTGAAGCAGTTGGTAGGAAGAATTAAATATGGCTTCCAGAGAAATCCCAATATCTCATTTGGGATATTGGGTAAATAGTGATATTACTCACTGAGAAAGTAAAAGGATGAGTGTGGATATAGAGTAGAAAGGGTTCAGGTAAAATGTTCGTTTCCTGGAGCACCTGAATGGCTCAGTATGTTAAGCGTCTGCCTTCAGCTCAGGTCATGATCCCAGAGTCCTGAGATTTAGTCCTGCATCAGGCTCTCTCCTCAGCAGGTAGTGTGGTTCACCTTCTAACTCTGTCCTCCCCTCCCACGTGTTTTCTCTCTCTCTCTCAAATAAAATATTTTTTAAAACAAATTTAAAAATAAAAATTAAATGTTCATTTTCTTTTACCATATTCTTTGGATTCTAGGTTTGGATACAATATAAGCTATATATTGCTACATAATAAATTACCCCAAAATTCAGTTAAAACATTTATTAACTTCTTTTTTTTTTTTAAGATTTTTATTTATTCATGAGAATACACAGAGAGGAGAGAGAGAGAGGCAGAGACATAGGCAGAGGGAGAAGCAGGCTCAGTGCAAGGAGCCCGACGTGGGACTCAATCCCAGGTCTCCAGGATCAGGCCCTGGGCCCAAGGCAGCACCAAACCGCTGAGCCACCCGGGCTGCCCAAAACACTTATCTTAAGAGTTTCTGTGGATCAGGCGATGCAGCTTAGCTGGGTGTCTCTTGCTCAGGGTCTTTGATAAAGTTACAGACAACCTTTTGGCTGGGGCTGCATTCATCTCGAGGTTTGCCTGGGGCTAGAGAATCTACTTCCAAAAAGGTGGAGCCAGTCTTTCATTGGCTGCTGCCAGGAAGCCTTATCCTCACTGCTTATACCTCTTCCTGGGTCTGCTTGAGTCATCATGACAACAGCAACTGGCTTACCCCAAAGTGAGCTATCCAGGAGAAAGAGCAAAGAGGAAAGAAACCACAATGTCTTTTTGTCTTGAAAGTCAAATGCTGTCACTTCTCCCATATTTTTCTCATTAGATACAAGTCAGTAAGTGTACACTCAAGCTCCACCTCTTGAAAGGAGGAATATGAAAAGAATTTGTTAACATTTTTTTAACTACCACAAATGCCATGAACATTTTAAGGATATAGAAGAATTAGGTTTAGAGTAGAGAGAAAAGAAAGGACACTGTTTCAGTGTCTTCTTACCAATATGCTGAATCTAATAGAGATAGTTGATATCAAAGATGGTTGATAATTTGAATTTTGAACTCAGAAGAGAAGTTTGATATCAGTACAGATTGGGAATTGTTGATATATCTGTGGTAATTGAAAGAAGTGGATAAGGTAATAGAGCAAAAATGAGTAGAACAAGAGAAGGATCATGGATGGAACCCCATAGAAAACCATATAACTTAAGTAAAAGGAGAAGTTTCATTTAAGTGGCCAGTATGGAAATCAGGTTTATACACATTTAGGACTAAGTAGAAATAAGGTAGAAACAAATTCTTCTGCCAATTGATCAGCAAAACTTACAGTTTTACTATTTGGATCTTCTTTTGTAACTGCAAAAGAGTTAATTAACATGTTCCTTTGCATTTCTGCTTGGGTTCTGGCTTTGGACACCATAAACATTTTAGACCTATTACAAGGAGGCATGGGTTTAGGGTAAAGAGGGGAGAAAACACTTTAGTGTGTCATTATGAACATGCTATGTAAGTTTCTGACACGCATATTAAGATGTTCATTATGTGTTATAGGTATGTGGTACCTTTTAATCAAACCGTAAGAGTACCAATTGGTACCAATTTGGTACCAAGATTTATTGAGTTTGTCATTGAGATGTAGGAATAAAGAAGATGTATTTCGTTGGTCCTTCCACTCTTGTCATGCTCCCTTTGGCTAACGCCTAGCCTTATAATCAAGATATGTAGGGGCAGACACACAAAGCATCTATCTGGGGATTAGGTCTGATCTGCCAAGTAAAACTTACTGAAGGAGTTGAGGCCCCGATGTCTCTTTCTAGGATGGGACTCTTAGATCATCTCATCAAATAGGAAGGTTCAAACAGTACAGGCATACTGTACTATACTATACTATTGCCTTGGCATACGTGTTTGCTATCAATTTATGAACTACTGTTACAAAGTGATGAAGGAACATGAGCAAATGAGTTGTGTTTTATTCCTGTACATGCATAGTGTATAGCCTGGTTAATTCTCTAAGGAATGGGAGGAAAAGCCATTGTGTGAATTAATTGTTGTTTTGAAAGTGAAAAACCTACAGTCTGTGATTAGTGGGTTGAATTCCTCCTTCCTTTTTCTTAAGAATATGTATTTCTTGGAGGGGATAAGGAGGAAATCTTTTCTATAGTCCCTGTCCTAGGTTTGGCTTGCCCAAAAATGAACAACACAGGAGAGTATGTGCATGGTAATCTTAAGAGTCACGGTATAGCAAGGCAATGCTCGCTGATTTCGTGGGTTCCACCTCTCTTCCAAGAATTATGTTAATGCAACATCTGCTCCACCCAGGCTCTACCAACACATAGATTAGCCATCCTAGGCCCTACCTACATGTTTTTGCTCATAAGGTTATATCTGCTTGGATTTATTATCCTCTATCAAAAGTTTCATTAAAGTGGCTAGTATGGAAATCACATTCATAAAAATTAAGGTCTAAGGAGAAGGTGAGGTAGAAACAATGAAATACTTCATTGCCAATTGATCTGCAAAACTTGGAAATGAATTAATAATGTTTTCTGAGCATTTACTGGGTATAATATATTATGTCAATTTCTTGGGATTTAAAGATAATAAGACTGGTTTCTGTCTTAAGGGTATTCTGTGATCTAGTTGAGGAATATGTACAATTAGGTATTATATATACATACACACTATATACATAATACAGGTATATATAATACAGAGCAGAATTTAAGGGACACAATAGTGCATAGGAGCAAGAAAAGGGGGTGCTTGGAAAAAAGAGAAACACATGGTAAAAATGACCTTTAAGCTTGGTTTGAAAGACAAGTAAAATAAAATGAGCAAAAAGGCAGAGCATTAATTACAGCATGAGGGAAAAATCCTATGAAAATTGCTGATTTTCCTATAAAGAACTTATTAAACTCAACAGCAAAGAAACAAACAATCCAATCATGAAATGGGCAAAAGACATGAAGAGAAATCTCACAGAGGAAGACATAGACATGGCCAACATGCACATGAGGAAATGCTCTGCATCACTTGCCATCAGGGAAATACAAATCAAAACCACAATGAGATACCACCTCACACCAGTGAGAATGGGGAAAATTAACAAGGCAGGAAACAACAAATATTGGAGAGGATGCGGAGAAAAGGGAACCCTCTTACACTGTTGGTGGGAATGTGAACTGGTGCAGCCACTCTGGAAAACTGTGTGGAGGTTCCTCAAAAAGTTAAAAATAGACCTGCCCTATGACCCAGCAATTGCACTGTTAGGGATTTACCCCAAAGATTCAGATGCAATGAAACGCCGGGACACCTGCACCCCGATGTTTCTA